AGGTAGATAGATTCACTTGCAGATAGACAGATTGATGGATGGATAGACACAAGGATGGATAGACAGATTGAGACATGGATGGATACAGGCAGACAGATATACAGATTGACTGATGGATAGAAGGATAGAGAGATAGACAGACAGACTGGTGGATGAATAGACATAAGGATGGATAGATAAGTAGATGGAGGGATAGAGAAACAAACAGCCAGTAGGACAGACAGATGGATAGACATATTGAGGTATGGGCAGACAGACAGACAGCGAGATAGACAGAGAGATAGACAGATTGATGGATGGAGAGATAGGCATACGGATAGACAGACCAAGAGGTGTAGACAGACAGGTAAATAGATTTATGGATGGATAGACAGACAGATAGATTCACTGGAAGATAGACAGATTGATGGATGGATAGACAGATGGATAGACAGATTGATGGATGGATAAACAGATTGAGGCATGGTGGATACAGGCAGGCAGACGAACGGATATACAGATTGACTGATGGATAGACAGAAGGATAGAGAAATAGACAGACATACTGATTGATATATAGACAGACTGATGGATGAATAGACTCAAGGATGGATAGATAGGTAGATGGATGGATAGATAGTCAAAAGACAGATGGATAGACATATTGATGTATGGGCAGACAGACAGACAGCGAGATAGACAGATTGCTTTTAGATTTTATGCAGATGCTTATTGCATATGATTATTCATGCATATGTATAAACAGACCTAACAACTGCTGTAAAACTTTCATTAACTATATGAACTGTTATGGACATTACAGTAACAGTGACCCACACAGGTCAATAGACCTGACAGAAGCCTCAGTCAAAGGAACATGGCCTCTTATAGAGCTCTAGTTTTCCACAGCAGACAGACGGCGCCAATGTCTCACACACACTCACACACACACACACTGCGCAACACTGCGCTAGACTCAGGCCAGTAGGACACACTGGTGAGTGAAGAATTGTAAACACACAACACCACACATCTCTCTCTCTCTCTCTCTCTCTCTCTCTCTCACACACACAAACGTATACATAAGCCTTAGGCATGAGCCAATGGGCCATCCTGGTGACAGACTAACTGTAAACAAGAAACATACACACATTCACACACAGAGATACCCAAACACACACTATTGATGAGTGAGGGTGATGAAGGAAGGTGAGAGGTTCATTTAGGGTGAGATTAAACGTGTGAAAGCTTGCCTGTTTGTAATCAGTGTGTCTGACTGTGAGACTATGGCAGATGAGGAAAACTGTACGCGGGCTTAAAGGTACAGCGTGTCATTTCTGCACCATTAATGGCCCCAATTAAAATTCCAAGTAAAGTTATTCCTTAATTAAAATTATTGTGTAGCAACTATTAATTATACAATTTAAGTGTATCATTTTTATACAATTTAAAAAATAATTAAAAATAATAAAATGTATATTAATTTAATAATAAATAATAAAAATAGTAAAATAATAGTAAATATTACCAGATATCAAAAAATAAAAAATGACAGGCAAAAGATAAAATGTATTATTATTATTATTATTATTTTTAACATCTATTCAGTGCTTTTATGTGAAAATATGTGGGTGGAAACCCAGCTACTGTCTGCATGCCTGTTTACAGCCTTTTGTAAATGTGTAAGAGGATCAATTTTGTTTTCCTATTGTAGGATTATTTTGTCTTATGTAAAGTATGTAAATATCTGTATGTCAGATAGTTTAATTTAAATAGTAGGCTACTAAATAAACAATATAAATAAATCAACTATAAATGAAAAATAAAACCCTAAATAAAAAAAAATACAAACTAGCTGACTTTGAGCAGAACAGTATTCCTCATAAAAATCATAATTGAAAAAGATACCCAGTCTTTCCAGTGGCAAATATCTGATTCATCTTTCTGTTTACAGTGGGTCTAGAGCAGTGTGTGTGTGTGTGTGTAGCGTGCAAAGCCATCCAGGACCGCCACAGCACCATCAGTTAGCTATCCACAAAAACAACCATTTAGATTGTTTACAGACAAGTACACAAATGCACCACACACTCACTCACATGAAAACATACACTACTAGAGTATTTACTGAAGTTTTGCTTTTGAAGTAAAAATACTACACGCAGGAGCAGAGATTCACCAAAAGCAAATACGGAGCATTTCTGGACCCCTCCTCTCAAATACTATATTTTTCTGTCCAGCTCCTGACTGGCTCTATCATTTTCCTCCCTCGCTGATCTTCTCCCAGTGAAATGTAAAAAATAGGGAAAATTATCAATCATGATAAAAAAAAGATCAGTCAAGATTTTTAATTTTGGGATTGGCGTTTATTCTCTTTAGCATTTAGAGTAAATTATTTCACTCAGTTCCCTGATCATTCCGATTCAGTTTCAGCAAGAGAAGAACAAATTTATACTCATGAGTTATGTATTATGTACGTTATGTTCTCTGACAGACAGCATGTTGAAGTCGCTCAGGCCATCATTTTCTCCTTCTTCTCGGAAAGTGATAATGTAGTCGAAACATCCGGTAGTGTGTGTTTCCAGGAAATGCGTGACTACCATGTATTGTGCACATTATTTTTTGACTATGGCATTGATGTTGTGATATTCAAATGATGTGGATTATTATCGTAAGGTAATAATTATGTAATCATTAAAGTGATTGATGTCCATGAGTGTGTTAACCGACAGCCAGCCTAAGTTTTTGACAGGCATGATAACACGTGTGAGGGGTGAATTTTTGATTTTGGGTAATTATATAATGTTCTGGAGATGTTTGAAATGCTTTTTGTGTAGTTCATTATACTTATTTTATGGAATTAAGTTTATTTTGTGGCTTAAATAAATTTGGCTTGTCAAAAAGGGTATACAAGCTTATCGCAAATTGGTTGACTTGAGAATCAAGTTCATTTTTTGCTATGAAAGGAATGGTTTTGATGAACAAAGTTGTTTTTATTGTCTCTTATAACAAAAAAAAAACTTTTATTTAAACTAGGGCTGTGCAAAGATGAATTGCATCCAAAATAAAAGTTTGTGTTTACATAATATACAGTGTGGGTGCTGTGTATAATTATATATATATATATATATATATATATATATATATGCATGAATATATTTAAGAATTATTTTCACGTAAATATATATATATATAGAAATACACAATCTATATTATATATAAATATAAATATAAATTTTCTTAAATATATACCAGCATGTGTGTGTGTATTTATATATATATATATATCAAATAATTATACACAGCACACACACATATATTATGTAAACACAAACTTTTATTTTGGATGCAATTAATCGCAATTAATCTTTGGACAGCCCTAGTTTAAAACCATGAAAATGCATATCCTGTTGTAAATAATAGTGAAAAATCACTTTTTAAAACAGTTATCCATTATAACAGTCCATTTATATCGACATTTTAAGTACATACTAAATTGTATATAACACTACGTACACACACAGACATTCATATGAACACATCCTAAAGATCAGAGAGCCTATGAAAAGACTGCAAACATAGCCTAAAAAAGTAGGAGAGGATGAAAAGGAGGGGGCCGTACACTCCTCTCCACATTCCACACATGATTGTGAGGGACATCAAAGATGCGATTACGAAGCAACCCACTCTCATTCATGACTTTCTGTGCAAATTGCTCAGATTTGCGTAGTGTGCGGCAATGCATCCGCCTCGACACGGAGAAGCGTCATTAGTTAATTCTGACAGGCGGAATGAGAAAGCACAAGAGGGCTGCATGATCTACACACACACACGTCATGACTGACTTTACCATGCATGCCCCATCCACACACAAAGACATGCCCGCTGGCCGCCTGCGCGTTCTTCCACCTCTGACCCTCAGTGCTGTCCAGGGTCAAGACTGTCAGAAGTGAGATGCTGCTGAATTGGCTGTTCTGAACCCACAGTGAGAAAGGCAGAGTACACATGGACACATAATAAGAATAAGAACACGGCCACGACAAGCTTCCAGCGGAGAATTATTCTTCTGTCATCCATAACAGCAAAAGGGTAAATCACAACGTTTAGGACCTTTCATTAAGTACACAACTCAAAATGCATATGATATAATGATATACCTAGGAAAAGCTATATTATGCAGTTGGTAACACTTTACTTGAAGGCATCATAAAGGCATCATAATCATGACATGACATGTTATGAATATGAAGGAAGCTTTATGCATGTTTATGACAACTGTCATTAAGTGTCATTCGCTCAGTTATGACATTTCGAATGCAAATATGACATTGTTTAAGATGTTTTTGTAAGGACAACTTGGTATTAAATTAAGTTAAACTGTCATGTGGTTGGCTTTGACATTGGCTGTCATGAGGCCATTATAACTGTGTCATGAATATTTTTTGTGACCTCAACTACATTGAATTTGTCATTAAAAAGTTATAATGGCTTCATGACAGCCAATGTCAAAACCAACCACCTGACTGTTTAATGTAATGTTAACCAATAAAGCTAGGTGGTTTCTCAAGTTTGATCATTAATCTGCTAAGTCATGTTTATGACAGGTTGTGTTGTCTTAGTAATGTCATTATTTATTTATGATGTATGATGTATTGGTTTATGTCAAGGTGTCCTAACAAAGACATCTCAAACAATGTCATATTTGCATTAAAAATGCCATAACTGAGCGAATGACACTTAATGACAGTTGTCATAAACATGCATAAAACGTCCTTCATATCCATAACATATGTCATGATTATGTAGGTGTCATGTTATTATTATGCACACCCCTTCTAGTAGTTTTTTTATTCCCTAACATTTTATATTTTATTCAGTACTTTTAATTGGCACACATTTATTTTAGACCAATGAGATTTGATGCAACAATAAAACTTCAAACTCAAGCTAAAAATGGAAATGTCTGGTTAGTTTGGGTCAGAGCTGGCCCAGACAGTGCGCAACATTAGCAGGAGGAGACTCACCATCCGAGCGGTGGATGCAGGTGTGCTGGTTGTCACTCAGGAAGAACCCGTTTTTGCATTGGCACTCATAACTGCCCATAGTGTTGACGCAGATTTGCTGACAGCCGCCGTTGTTGTCCATACATTCGTCCACATCTAGAGAGACACAAACACACTCGGTCATTACAAGGCACAGGCATTCAAGCACAAGGATAAAACCATCATTCTCCGTCTCTCTGCGTAAAGCCGGCTCAGCTCAGGTATTTGCAACAGTGTTTGTTTATCCGGAGATGATTTCCCTTGATTTCCTCTCAGAATGTTTATTAAATGAGTAGTTTGTAACACATACCAGACAAATAACCCAGTAAACAGGCACATAATAGATTGAAATAAGAACATGATAACAATATCTGTCATCCAAGATAAATTGTTAAAAGCATGAAGGATAAACTTTTTAAAGCTGTCTGGATGCGAGTATCATAAATCAATGTCCAAGTGTGTGTTTGCCCATTGCAGTGTCTTTGATAGTTCTATAAATGGCATTGTGGGTGAGTTGGTTTGAGTAGCAGTGTAACACTGGAGACCCGTAACACACATGAGTGAGTTTTATGCAGCCCTAACACAGCAACCTGCCTCTGTGGAGTCGGCAGCCCATAACTCTCTCTCTCAGGGGTGCTATTATGTCTCGCTGTCTCGGAGTACTACCACTGCCACTCTTCTGTCACACGTCACTTTTCCAGCTATGTGGCCTGGCATTCTCATATAGGCCAGTTGAGATTTTTATCATTAAAATTAAAAAAGGTTTCTGCTGAATGTTTGCTAACATTTTCCCCCTCAGGCTAAAGTTAACAGGGACACTGGAAGTCCATCTCGTCTGGAATTCATACAGCTGTCGTTTGAATAGAGAACATAAACAAACAAAACAAAACGAAGAAAGACAAAACATGAAAACAAAACATGTTTGGAATTTACATTATAGTTTGAATATACTGACGACATAACTGAATTCTGGTAGTATTACTCAAACCTTAAACGAAACCAAACAAAACTAAATGACACTACAAAAACGTTGGAATTCACATATAATTTTAATAGACCACTTAAGTGAATTCTGGTAGTATTACTCAAACCTTAAACAAAACTAAATGCAACTAAACAAAGCTAAACAGAACAAAGCTAAACAAAACAGAACAAAGCTAAACTAAACTAAACTAAACTAAAGTAAAGTAAAACTAAAGTAAAACTAAAACTAAACTAAACTAATTAATTTACCTATCATTTAAAAGGACAGCATAAGTCAATTATTGTAGTATTACTCAAAAATTGAAATAAAATAAAGTAAAACTTAAAAATAATTAAATTTTAAAATGCTTTATTAAATCGAAACTAAACGAAGCTAAACAAAACGAAACAAAGCTAAACAAAACAAAGTTAGTAAACTAAACTAAACTAAACTATGTAATTAATTTAGACAGCATAAGTAAATTATGGTAGTATTACTCAAATATTGAAGTAAAATTAAAAAATAAATAATTAAATTAAATTTTAAAATGCTTTATTAAATCAAGCTTTAATATGGGAAATGTTAAAGACTGAACAAAAAGTGAAGAATAAAGCAATTTCTTTGCATGGCCTCATAAAAAGTACTGTAATACAATACTAGACAGACATTGTAAGCAATATAGTAAACTTGCCATGTTTTTTAATTAATACATTTTAAGATCACATCAATTTTTTTACCTCTGGCATTTGATTCTCTGAATCGCTTCACTACAGCCTGATTATTCAACAGAAGTAGCTGAATCTGTGTTGCTTGACTTCCCTGCATTCGATGAGAACGCGTTGATCGAGTGTAAGAGTAAGCGTTGTTCAGAATAATCTGGTTCTGTTGTTTACAAGCCACTTTGCATTGAAAACTAGCATTGAATGTTGTACACATGAAGTCTGAACGAGCATCAAAGCTTTGGTAAATGAGGCGTTGGTTTCCTCAACTGTTATAAATGAATTATCAGCGCTGCATTCACAAACACACTCAAAGTGACTGTTGTGTAAAGATGGAGAGAGATTGCAGTGTCTGTTTCCACACCGTGTCACATTTACATGTTGTGTGACACCTAATGTGGACGTGTGTTTGTGTTTACAGCCCTGGACTGTGTTGAGAGGCAGCGAGTTTTACGAGCTCTTTATTTGTGTAAGTTAAGACCTTTACAGCTGTTAGCGCCTGAGCTCGGCGGCACAAACGCGCACTCATCTGCCCACTGGCTTCAACAACATCCCATGTAGTGAACAAGCTAAGAGAGCTGTGCTAATGGAGACCCACTTACGAACTCTGGCTTTGGCGTCCTCATCGTTTTGAACACTTTATTTGGGCTAACATTATAGCTAATGTACGGAAATCCTACCAATTTTCTATTTGGTCCTTGTGATAAGTAATGATGATACCAAAATGCATCAGCCGAAAGACATGCATGAATGGTTTATTTCACCCCAGGTTTATTATGTGGCTCCTGGGTTTATAACTCTTATTTTAGCATCCACAGGGGCATCTCGTAACACAGCCAGGACAGCAAGGCCTTTACTGTCCCTGTACCCTTCGAGAGAGGGGGTCTTTATGCCCTCTCGTCCACAGAGCCATCCCTGTCTGCCAGGAACCGAAAGCTTTTTGTATCACATAGTAAGGTTAAAAAACATTGATTTAATCTAATTATGAATGATGTTACAAGCATAATTTAATTTGAGTTAAATCAAACTGATTTTTGCTTTAATTACTGCATGATCGGAGCTCAAGATGCGTTAGCAAACTTTTCGGAATGAGAACAATCCCACTTGAGATCTCGTCAATGTCTCAATTTTTTGTCCTAGACAGAAGGGATTAAATGGAGAGCAAATTAAGTTTCCTGAATCCCAGATATGATTTGCTTTTTAAAGGACAAGTTTTAAACATGTTGACAATGGTGTCATTATGCGATCTTCATTTACAGTGTTCACAAGCATTTAAAGACTTAATTCAACATTGTGGTTGATATCTCACCTCGACCCTTCTAATAAAATGACATGTTGCTGCTATTTTGTAGGTTGTCACCTCTGTCTTTCCACTCTCGTTTTACTATTTTTCTTTCCTCCCTGAAACACGTTGACATCTATCTTTCTCCTTTTTTTTTTCTCCTGAGAAAAATGTCGGAATAGATGTAGGGAAATATCACATACAGTATAAGGCCCCCCAGATCACAAGCTTTTATCTCTTTATTGCCGCATGTAACAATCCAGTCGTTGTGGCTTGCTTCTTATTTACTGACAAGAGTAATATTTGATCGGAGGGTTTGGAGAAGACATGCTGGCTGCCTCTGTCTCGTGTGACTCTATAGCTGCGAGCGTGTAGTGTGCCGTGTTTAATGTGCAAATGGAAACAGATATCATCAGTGTGACAGCACTCACTTGCTTTAAAAGGAGGGGAAAAAATAACATTTCAGCTGTCATCTCTCAATTAAGGCACTCTCTGCCAAAATTTAAACAAGAGCCCTGGCATCCTGGCCTGCGAGTTTAAACTAGAATGCTTTTGTTTTGTTTGATTGCTCTTGTGTAAACTTTAATTTGGAAAAGATCTAAGATGACATGACACAACAGGAGAGAGAGAGAGGATGAGGGAGGAAATTAAGAGTGAAATAGAGGACGGAATAAATAAATAAAAATGAGTAAGAGGTGAGAATAGGACTGACCAGAAAGAATAAAGTCAAGAGAAAGTGAAGAAAACTAAACGGAATAGAAGTAAACTGAACATGTCTATAGAATGGAGGGGGGAAGAAGTGAACAGAACACAAATTAAATGAACAGAAGTGAAGTGAAATTAACTCAACAGATGTAATCGGAGGTGAAGTAAACCGAAATGAACAGAAGTGAAGTGACATTAACTTATCAGAAGTTAACAGAACAGAAGAGGAAGGAACAGAACAAAATAGAAGTGAATTAACTCATTAGAATTATGAACAACAAAACAGAAGTGAAGTGAAGAGATGAACTGAACTAAAGCAAAGTTAAGCGACAAACAAAACAAGACAAAATAGAAGTGAAGTGAAATTAACTCAACAAAAGTTAACAGAAAGGAACAAAGTTGAAGTGACATGAACTCAAAGGAATTGAGAACAACAGAACACGAGTGAAGTGAAGTGAACAGAAGTAAAGCGAAGTGAAGTGACAAACAGAAAAGGACAAAATGGAAGTGAAGAGAAATGAACTTTTCTTTAAAATTAATTAACAGAATTAACAGAAGTGAAGTGAAATTAACTCAACAGATGTAAACAGAGGTGAAGTAAACCGAACAGAACAGTAGCGAAATGAACAGAACAAGATGAAATAGAAGTGAAGTGAAATTAACTCAACAAAAGTTAACAGAACAGAACAAAATTGAAGTGAAATGAACTTAAAAGAATTGAGAACAACAGAACATGAGTGAAGTGAAGTAAACTGAACAGAAGTAAGGTAAAGTAAAGCGAAGTGACAAACAGAAAAGGACAAAATGGAAGTGAAGAGAAATGAACTTGTCTTTGAAATTAATTAACAGAAATTAACAGAAGTGAACAGAAGTGAAGTGAAATTAACTCAACCGATGTAAACAGAGGTCAAGTAAACCGAACAGAACAGTAGCGAAATGAACAGAACAGGTTGAAATAGAAGTGAAGTGAAATTAACTTATCATAGAACAGAAGAGGACAGAACAAAACAAAATAGAAATGAACTCATCAGAATTATGAACAACAATACAGAAGTGAAGTGAAGTGAAGAGATGAACTGAACTGAAGCAAAGTTAAGCGACAAACAGTTCAAGACAAAATAGAAGTGAAGTGAAATTAACTCAACAAAAGTTAACAGAACAGAACAAAATTAAAATGAAATGAACTCAAAAGAATTGAGAACAACAGAACACAAGTGAAGTGAACTGAAAAGAAGTAAAGAAAAGGACAAAATGGAAGTGAATAGAAATGAACTTGTCTTTAAAATTAATTAACAGGAATGAACAGAAGTGAACAGAACACAAGTGAAGCAAAGCCAAGTGAAAAGAACAGCAGTGCCATGAAGAAGTGAAGTGAAGCAACACAAACAGAACTAAATAAAATAGAAATGAAGTTAAATTAATGCAATAGAAGAGAAGAGAACAGACGAGACCGGAACTGAACTGAACTGAAGTGAATCGAAGTGAACACAACTCAACAGAACAGTATACTGAGAATTCTCTTGTTTAAAGTGACCTCAGTTACAACATCACCGGTGTTGTGTTTCTAACTACATGAGTTCTCTTCTCCCATTCTGATGTTGGAACGAGAGGGGAAAAGCAGCCAAAAGATAAATAAACAGCAGCAGCAATGCAGGCATTCATAAAAAAAGGCCAAATGATCAACACATTGAGTCCAGCTGCCTGCACAAAGAGCGAAAACAAATAAGAATGGAAATGAAAAAGACAGAGGAACTGCAGTAAAATGCTCTTTAATCAGCTCCCCATTAGCCAATCTTAAATCAATTAAAGCTTTAACTTGTTAACATGTGGAGATCTAAAACCACTTCCTACACAATACAGCCCGGCAGACAAGCCACAGCGCTGATTTCCGCCCCATTTCAAAGAGCTTGCGGTTTGGTTAGCGCTCAGTAGGTTTGTTTGAACACACTCTGTGAATGTGTGTGTGTGTTTATGCAGAGAGTAATCAGTGGCACAAGCCACATTAAGGCAAGTATCACTATTGCTATTGCTCATCCTATGTGCTATTACTTTGGGTTGGGTATATGTGGAATGGTTTCAAACAAAATTACTTTTAAACCGAGTACTATTAATAGCTAAGCCCATTTCAAAACTTCATATCACTGCAGCTTACACAATACAACTTTACAATTTATGATAGTATACTTTTAAACTAACACCCTAGCAAGCACTTAAAACACTTTAATAACTGCATAGCAACCATCCAAAACATCCTTGTGATGCAAGTTTTGTATGAGCAGACACCAATCGCATTTTCATCAGAAAATGTACAAATCTAGTTAAAAGAAGCCATTAATTATCTAGAAGTGAGTTGGAAAAGGTTAAGCAATACATACTTGGAGAAAATTAAATAAAAAAGAGAATGTCAAATAGACAAAAAAGAGATTACAGGAAAAGGTCGTCATAAACATGATTCATTTAACCTTTCAAAAGTTCTAGTGGTTTCACTTCCATCTGAACTTGCCATAATGCGCACACATGCCAATGAGAAACATGAGGGGTGCTATGACAACACTTCATATGACGGTAAAGCGACAATGAGAATGAACGAGGTTTTAAAAGAGCAAACAAACACACACACAGATGATGTGTGAATGAGAAATCAGCATTAAGAAGACATAAGAGAGTGCATGAGGAGGAAACATTACAAAGCGCCATATGACGACATTGAATGATTCGAGTTCGGCACAAGTTAAAGGAGTATTTCACTTTAAAAAAACTTTTGCTGATAATTTACTCACCCCCATGTCATCCAAGATGTCCATGTCTTTCTTTCTTCAGTCGAAAAGAAATTAAGGTTTTTGATGAAAACATTCCAGGATTTTTCTCCATTTAATGGACTTCAATGGGAACCAAACGGTTCAAGGTCCAAAAGACAGTTTCAGTACAAACTGCAAACTGTTCAAAGGGCTTTAAACGATTCCAGACGATGAATAAGGGTCTTATCAAGCAAAACGATCGCTCATTTAATAAATAAATAACAAAGTTGAATGAATCAAATGATTCGAAAAAAGATTTGTTCATTTTGATGAACGAGTTTGAACAGGAGAGTCACGAAAGAGCGTCACAGAACAGAGCAAGGCGAGCATTTGAGCTTATAAAACTTAAACTTTGTTATCTTAAATGATCGTTTAAAGCCCTTTGAACAGTTTGCACTGAAACTGTCTTTTGGACCTTGAACCGTTTGGTTCCCATTGAAGTCCATTATATGGAGAAAAATCCTGGAATGTTTTCATCAAAAACCTTAATTTCTTTTCGACTGAAGAAAGAATGACATGGCATGACATAAATTATCATCAAAAGTTTTTTTTTTTAAAGTGAACTACTCCTATAAGATTAAAAGACAATTTTAGCCCTTTTTTAAACTAGACTTTATAATAGACTTTAAGCCACAAATAATTCATTTAACCTCTTAAACGAAGATTAAAGTGACTCTGATACTGCATGCAAGTCAAAGAAGAGAACAAGGAGAGTAAAATCTCTCTAAATGATTCACTTTTTCTGTGTCAATCTATTTCTAGGTAGAGGTGGAGGACAGGGGCTGAGACAAAGACAGACAGAAACAGATTATATCCAGGAGAGAGGACAAGACAGAAAAAAAGGGGACTAGAAAAGTTCGACAGAAAAGTGTAAGAGGAGGGAAAGGCATAACGAGAGCAGCCGAAGGAGGGGGGCTCGAACAGGAGAGCCCCCGCATTGCCGCTGATGGCCCTCTACGGCCTTGTCTTAGTTCCCAGAGCCATCATTTAGGCTTGTATTTGAGACATTCCACAATAAAGATGTCAAATAGAAGGCAAGTCTATCGCCTCTAGGGAAACAGCCTGGAGTTACTCCAAAGAGACCCACAGCCAAGATAACCAAGAAAATGCGGAGAGAGAGGGAAAGTGTGTGCAAAGACAGAATGGAAGAAAGAGAGATTTTAAGGAGAAGAAGGATAAAAAGAAAAGTTCGAGAAAGTAAAGAATGGTTTGATTAAGAAGGAAAGAGTCATGGAGATACAGCATAGTATTCTAAGAAATAACTTGTAAATACTACCGTACATGAATTTGGTAGTCATTAGATGTGTGTTGTGTAATGTCCACGTCACTGGAATCACCTTGTTTAAGGCTGATCTGTTCAAATTTATACCTACACTCTAAAAATGCTGGGTTGTTTTAACCCAACTTTGGGTCAAATATGGACAAACCCAAACGTTGGGTTAAAAAATGTCATTAAAAAATGTAACCCAATGGCTGGATTTGTCCATATTTGACCCAAAGTTGGGTTAAAAAAACCCAGCCATTTTTAGAGTGTATGAATTCAGAAAGCATAGAAGACATGCAATCAAGTGATTTTGTTCAGAATAACATGACTGCATTGAACTGCCTGATTTTCTTCGCACAATCGCAACAAAATGAAGAGCAAATGTTCGCAACAGTGGCTCAACCAGTTGTGTCAACATGGCATCATGACTTGCATAAACAGACACAGCACTTTCAAGTCAAGTGGCGTGTTATCTATACGCATTTTGAGATTTGTCCCGTCTCTACTTCACTGTGATTGGACGACTGGGTAAAAAGGGACATTGATGAGCGCAGTGTTTTACTCAAAGTTGAATATTCTTCGACTCTTGACCGTAAAAACAAAAACGCTAAGTGCTCAGCGTGTACTAGACACTCGGCACCTCGTTTGGCGTTTTAAGAAACACAGCACTCCCAAACTGGAACAATACACTAGCCTCGGCGGAAAAAAAAGCATTCATGGACACACATCGGTGCACTAGTACCATATTTACGAATTCTCACAAGATCGCGTTGGAAATTATACATACGTCACCTTTAGTGCGCACTAATCAAAAACCATGGTATTACTGTCTGATGTCATCACAGATCTGTTTTGAAATGAAAAATATTCAGAAAAAATATCTGATGAAATTGTGTAAGCTGTTGTAGCAAAGCAGAGGAGGTGCTAAAGGTCTCTGAAGGTCTGAGCCCTGATGTCCTGCTCTGGGATCCATCATCATTACAACATCTAATGAAAAATGATGACCTCAGCATCCTGAAACTCCACTCGGCACACATATTTGCTTTGGATTAAGAGAGCAGAGAGGAGATGAGAGAGGTTGAAGTTCTTATCTGCGAACACCATCGCTGTCTCTTGCGTCACTCAAATACGTGGTCACAGTGACACTATAGAGCCACCACACTATAGGTTGATAAGTCCCTTTCGACCAAAGACACATCTGCACTCACTTAGAGCAATAACGCAGACAGACTCGCTGCAAAAAACACACTTTTTAACGAATTCCTGAATCCCCACAGCAATCCAGCAAAAACCATGAGACCCCGACCTAACTCTCCGGGTCATGGAATTTCATCTTTGAACTATTTCAATAAATATGAGATGCCAAGTTATTAATTTTCTCTCAGCCTTTTCTTCCCCTACTTCCATTTTTAACCGCTAACATAAACATCGGACCTGACTGCCGATTTCTGGGAATTGGAGGCGATTGCGCCACTGGTGACATTTGGGTGACATTTGTAAGAGATGAAAATAATCGCAAGGTTCCTGCTGGCGTGCTCCTGTCAGAACGGGGATGGGATACTGGCGCTAGACGCACCCGGCTGGCCTTTTCCGAGGCGCTGCACGGAAAGATCGCTGAGGCTGATTTGTTTATGTATGCGGAGGGGGGTCATTACAGAGGTCATTAGTTGGGCAAAGAGATGACTCATCTGTAAGTCCGTCAAGAGAAGCAACTGAGTGTGTGTTTTTCTCTCTAGCGTCTCACCAAGACAGTTGTGCCCGTCGTCTGCCAGCATGAATCCATCGTAGCATGTGCACCTGTAGTTCCCGGGGATATTGATGCAGTCGTGAACACACCCTCCGTTGTAGTCGTTTTCACACTCGTCCATATCTGAAAAAGACAGCACACACACACAATTGAGTCAGTAAACACATCACATTGAGTCGGTACAGATCAGACAAATGTCCATAACACAAAGAGCATGGATGAGTTACACATTGAAGTTTAATACTTAGGTTGGGGGTTGTTCAAACCACTAACTCTTAAAGGAGTAGTTGACTTTAAAAAAAAAAAAACTTCACCAAACGGTTCAAGGTCCAAAAGACAGTTTCAGTGCAAACCGCAAACTGTTCAAAGGGCTTTAAACGATTTAAGACACGTTCATGACTCTGCTGTTCGTACTCGTTTATCAAAATGAACAAATCTTTTTTCGTGTCATTTGGTTGACGAAACGAAAAGAATGAGTTGACTCGGGTAAAGATTCGTTCATTTTGATAAACGAGTTTGAACTCAGTCATGAACGTGCGTCACAGAACAGAGCAAGGCGAATATATTTGAGCTCATAAAACTTAAACTTTGTTATTTATTTATTAAATGAGCGATCGTTTCGCTTGATAAGACCCTTATTCATCTTCTGGAATCGTTTAAAGCCCTTTGAACAGTTTGCAGTTTGCACTGAAACTGTCTTTTGGACCTTGAACCGTTTGGTTCCCATTGAAGTCCATTAAATGGAGAAAAATCCTGGAATGTTTTCATCAAAAACCTTAATTTCTTTTCGACTGAAGAAAGAAAGACATGGACATCTTGAATGACATGGGGGTGAGTAAATTATCAGCAAAAGTTTATTTTAAGTGAACTACTCCTTTTAAGACTACTAAAAACTCAAATCCTGTTAGTGATACTAAGCAGAAGTTAAATAGGAAGTTTTAGGAACAGTTGGCTTGTGAAACAAGCCTCCATGAGTCAGTACAGCAGACAGACGTAAGTGGGGACACTAAAATAAACACAATATTTCTTTCTCTTTCACTCACACACTTGAATACATTGAAATCAGAAAGTGTCTGTTCTCTGCCAGACAATGATAGCGGCCGGGTATCTGCTTTGTGTTCTGTAATCTCGGAGTGTGTGATTTAATAAACCTGGCTTGTGCTCTTGGAGACATACGGCACAAACTAAAAATATCCACATTATTTCCCACAAATAACACTCACGTTGTGCAACTGTGGCTTTGAGGACAGTGAGAACTGCGTTTAAGAATGCTTTGTTTTTCTTTGCAAAATCATACTATTCGGAGAGTAACACACATGCTCATGCCACAAACACAAATCATACACACACAGATATACACTCAAATTATGGAGGCATAAATACTTCACTAGTATTTTATTTGTTGTTTATTTCTTTTGTCTATCAAAGAGTGTCGGTTTTGGCTTATTTTGAGGGCCATCACAGTAGACAAACCCTGAGCCAACTAAACACTCTGGAGTTCATGTTTCATTACTGTTTTATCTAGTGAACATGCTCCTGAAGAGCGCTACATGATCCACAAGAAGGAAGGAAAAAATTAGGGAAAAGACAGACGTCCCCTGAAGGTAAATGCACTGTAAAAAATGATTTTTTGGTTAAGTAAATACTAGTGAAAAATGTAATTTACTTGAAAAAGTTAGTTCAGGCAAGAATTTAAAAAACTAAGTAAATTCCATATCAGTACTTATTTCAAGCGAGTATAATAGAAAGTGTAATATCAACTCAATAAAATAGTAAAAATTACTCAACTTTTCTGATACTGGGGTTCCCATCATGCACTGGACCTTGAATAATTAATGAGGTTCATTTTTCACTGGTTTCCAGCTGTATTTACACTGTTTTATCATTGATTTTTGTTTTCAGTATTAGTAAATTGCCATTTTGTGACATTTCGAGTAAATTTTTCTTGCTTAAAAAAACGACACATTCAAACACAAAAACGATCCGTCAAATGTTACCACCATTGTGTATTGTCTACCAAGTATTGAGGTGTTTGCATTCACATAAGGCTTAAAGTCTGACATGATGTATAAATTACTTAGATGATCTAAGTAATGAACATACTATAAATGACTAATAAAATTCAAGATAATTGTTTTAGTGAAGTGTAATACAAAGGCACAGGAAATCGGTATTAATCAACCTTTTACAAGTCGAGTTAAAATTACTTATTTTTTGTAAAGTTTACTTAATTCCACATTCCAAGTAAATTTAACTTAAAGATTTCTAATTAAAGCTACTGATAAATATGTTTAGGTTTTTACTTGGCAAATCTTTGCAAATTTACTAGCATTTTCTGAGTGAGATCGTTTAGCAAGGTTTTTTCAAGTAAATCCTACTCCAAATTTTTTACAGTGTGAGATGGAGGAATGACAGATCTCACCATAATAAAGCCCACTTTAAAATAACACGTTGAGTCTCATTCACTAAGTCTGTGTGACTGTTTTAATAATACAAAATCATGATCCACTTTCACAAAGAACTTTCAGAAACTCTAAACTTAGATGCAATTTAAATTCCATCATCTATATATACTGATCAATCTATTTTTCATCATTTAGGCTACAGTAACAGAGTAAGATCCGGTCTGTATTTAAGGTGTTTATTGTGTTTTGAGGATGGCACACTTAGTGTTGCTTGAGGATGTTTCTGCGTGTGCTCTCAGGCAAGTGTGTGTCTTGAGAGATATACCTCAATCACATATAGTCACTTATTTAAAATACTACAAATTCAATAAAATTACAACAAGGTAAAGCACAAATTCATTATGAATTCAAAATGTGTTATGAACTGGGTGGACATTTTTAGTGAGAAGATCAAATTAATCCACACAATTGAACTGAATGAGACACAATATGTCCGTCAGTGGCATTACACTACTGCATTATCAAGGCAATCCATCCGAGAACTGTAAGAAGACGAGAGAGAGTCGAGGTGACAGTGTTTTTAGGTGTCCGTGCGTGTTGTGGTCGTTAGCAAGGGTAACAGGCTGTACATGAGCTGCCAGCGAAGGTGTGAGGGGGACGGGGATGTTAAAGAGCGGGACGGCTAGTTCGCCTCCAGCTGACAGACTTCCTGCCCCGGAGCTGTTGTTGATACGGGCCGGCAGCGAGCTGATAGGTCGGGCTGCTGCTTGTCGCCATTTCCGCCGTTGAGACACGCTGATCTCTAATTGAAGGAGAAGTGTTTACGCTCAACATCCCATCAGCCAGATTAAGCACCTCAGCAGGGGTGGAGCCCGCGGGAGGCAACACCTCAACACCCCTATGGCCCAACATAACACACCCCATGCCCAAATCCCGACTGATGAAAAACGTGCCATGCAGAGAGCAAAGGGAGGAGGGATGTTGCAAAAAGCCCTTTTTAGAACGCAGGAAAGGGACAAACAATGACACCTTGCTAATGTGTGTTTTTGTAAAGTTTCCCACTCCTGTTATTTAGTCCACTGTAAAAAAAAAAGTTTGTTTAACCTGGTTGTCTTCAAATTTTAAGTTCATTAATACAATGAAGGAGACTGATTTAATCATCAGAAACTCAAAATATTATGTTATCTGAACTACATAAATTAAGAAAAAATGTTGTGATTACAAATCATGAAAATATATATTTTTTTAAAGTGTGGTGAGCTATTGCAGATAACACCTTACATTTATGGAGGCAAGTAGATTTTGAATGCAACTTTTAAACAAAATGTTATACCTTCCTTCATAATTAATTTGCACGTTATTATAACTAAAACTTGTTTCAGAAATCACACATTCACAGTCAGGTTGAACCTTCGACATCAAGATTTTAGGTTTAGCTCCACATGTACTGAATAAAGGGCAATGTCTGTCTCAGCTATACTGTAAAGCATAAAGGTTCTGTGAAACAAAACAGAAATAATTTTGTAAAAGTGAAAAAAAGTGCAAAATTGCATGCAGTCTCAATAAATATGATGCCATAAAAAGTGTATGTACATTAGGATTTATTTATTTATTTATTTTTTAAATGAAGTCCCTTAAGTTCATTGAAATGGAAAAATTAAGTTTTTCTGATTTAATCATCCGGAACTCAAAATATTATGTTATCTGAACTACATAAATTATTTAAGTTTATTTGACAAAAGAAAAAATATAGTGATTACAAATCATGAAAATATTTTTTTTACAGTGCATGCGGTGCAGTTTTATCATCTGCCACTATAAGTGCTCGTGCTCGAGCTGTCATTGTTTTTCTCATTCATCAGCAAGAAAAAATCATTCTGAAAGTGATTTCAGTGATATCGTTCTTCTGTGCCATTATCGTTATAGTTGTCGTGTAGACTGCTATTAGAATGATTTTTAGAACTATATCTTATTTTAGAACTATTCCATTATCATTATAGTTATGGTCATTAGTGTTGGCTGCATTTATTTGATCAAAAATACAACGTGAAAATTACACATTAGTCCAATTGTCAGTGTCACGTGATCCTTCAGAATTAATTCTAATATGCTAATTTGTTTATGAATTTTAAGGAGTTTTATCATTTTTTTCCGGATTTTTGATGAATAGAATGTTCAAGAGAATCGCATATGTTTGAAATATAAATCTTTGAAACATTGTAACTGACACTTGATTAATTGAATTTAACAATTTTACTGATCCCAAACTTTTGAATGATAACAATTATTGAAGAATTTAAAAGAATTTTTTGGATTAATAATATGTCACTCCACATGACACTGCAGGTATTTTCATTGTTTAACTGTCCTGTAATGATTTTATGATTTTAAGATTTTCAGTGTGTGTGTGTGCGCGCGCACGTGTATGGTGGCACATAAAGCAGTAAAGAGACTGAAGTGTCCTGTGAGGGGAGGGTCAGGGATGAATGGTGGGCACCCTCAGACAGCCAATCAGAGGTGTCCGCAGACACCAGGCAGACAATGGCCTAGTAATGGCCAGACACCTCCATCTCTCATTCCATTTGTCTGTCTCTTCCTCACCACCCCCATGCCCTTTTCTACCATTTTCTCATCGAAACATACAAACACACACTACACAGACAATCCACCTTAGTCTACACACTCGCAGAGACTAGGGCACTTCTTCAGCAAAGCACCGACAATTACCTGACCTCTTTTACAAGTACAGATAAAAAGGGGATGGAGGGAATGAGAAAAATGAATGAATAAAAAGGCAGACAAGACAACTTTCTCCAGGTTAAACTGACTGACCCATAGTCCCGATGCTGAGTCATCTCTACAAGCTTTGTTTAATCTCTTTCTCTAGCCTGCAAACAAACCCAGCAGTGAAATCCCCACACTCGCCTCTGGGGATTTAAGATCTGTGGGGATTCCCTCCTGAGCTAAGCTCATCAATTAATCAATTTACATAATCAATAAAACCCAAAAGGCTCAGGAAGAAAGTTCTATGTCATCTCATGCCATAATTTTTTTTTATATATAATTACATTCTTAATATGTCATTACTGTGTAATTCCAAAGTCACCAAATACAAATTTGGCTTTCATTAGTCAAACAAACCAATAGTCCCGTTCCCAACTTACGGCATTAATGTTGCTGCGTCATGCTGGTTGGGATGCTCAAACAAACAGAGCAATGTTTTGATACTGGCACAAAACCACTATGTTTACGTGTTTAGGGGAATCAACCTACGAAAGGCATTTTAATTGCATAGTGCCGTCTACTGTAGGAAAAACCATTAGATGCAGTTTACACCAGCCCTAAAAAACATCAAATACATCAGGTTTACAAATCACAGACAACATATCCCTTGACGTTACAATGACAGAAACATGAAAAACACAATTTTCAGAATCGCCCATGATAGAGAAGCAGCACTTATCAAATGTCACAAGCAGATGCACCTCAAAAACCTTGTTTTGTTGTGTCTGTATATCTACTCACCAGTTAAAGTGATGTTTATCTGCAATATCTTATACAATCTATGTTAAAGATTCAAAAAAATAGAAAATATATTCAATAATTCTATGAGTAGCTACAAAGCTAAAAGGGCAATAATGAATTGGAGTGGGCTTGGGGACCAGCTGAATTTACTGAGTGTGTCACCACAAAAAGTTAAACTAATATTTATTTAGAAACCCCAAAGGAGGCAGATAGAAAGGGTGTAGAGCTATGAAATCAAATGAATGTGAATAGTATAGCTGATCTTAAAGAAATTAAATGAGAACAGTTTAGATCTTTTGAAGACTTTGGTATGCTGGCAAATATGAGCACATAACTTCTGAAACTCCAGATGAGACACATTTGAGATTTCTGGAAAAATCAGGACCTGATTGGTGTATAGGAGATCCAACTGAGACATTAAGGGGATCTTATTTATGATTATTGTTTTGTAAGGTGTTTTATGAGAAACTGCTGAGACAGAGGCCCTGTTTACACCAGCATGCGTGTGATCGATCAGATCACAAGTCTACAACGCTAAATACAGGTGTAAACCAGGTCTAAAACGTTTTGAGCTTGTCCGCTTTCAACTACTTCCAGAGGTAGTTGAAAACGCATTCGACTGGATTTCTTTGGTAGTGTAAATGCAAATGTGATCGAATGCGTTTGAATGGCCGCAAATGATCTGATAAATTTACCCACCAGTAGACTCGATGAAATCAGACCAGAAGTGGTTGAAAGTGGACAAAAGAGACACCACGTGTAAATAGGAAAATCTCTCCCTCATCTTGTGATCCGATCGACCAAAACGCATCTTAATTACAGGTGTAAACAGAGGTATACATTACTGAAAGAGGTATACATTACTGAAACCGCTAAGCTATATCAAAGACCAATCTCCGAGCAAAATAAATTGATTGGCATCTTGGTTAATAAGCATCACACCTGGATTGCTAGGATCTTTTCAGAGGAGAAACATCTAAAAAGCAGGAGACTTCAGCTAAAAGTCTCCATTTAGCCTATCTGTTGTCTACAAGAAACAAATGAGATATTAAAGAGCATGCTCAACATGCAGACTTCACTAGCATGTAACTGACCACAAAGGCACTGATGTGCAGACAGACACAATGGCTGCATTAGAGTGTTAGCAAGCATTTTCTTAATTTCCTTCAAAGCCAAACACGCAGGGCTTTAATTAAAGGGTGGGTATTGGGGGTGTTAATGGGCTTTTTTGCTTCAGACAAAACAGCCCCCCCACTCCCCACAATACACCACATTACACTGTGTGGACGGAATGTCCGCTCAGACAGAATAAGAGCAAAAAGAAAAGAAGAAGAAAAAAGAGAAGAGACGCACGCATAGTTAACATGCTACGACCAAAGCAGACCGGTCGGACAGCCTCAATGCCCCGCGACCGTAGACTGCGGTTTGAAGGTGGGAGGAAAAAGGCTTCTGTAAAGTCCAGAACATTCCCCGTGTTTCCTTAGAGAAATAAAGAGATGTTGTTCTAGCCCACGCTGTCTGGCCTCAGACAGGAGTATATCAAGCGCTAACTGAAGAGCAGTCTGGTGCAATGCCACTTCACATCCAGCTAATTCATTAATGCAATTGAGAATGGGTTTCGGGTTTCATAATAGGTAGAGAGCTCATTTCACCCTTTTCCTGAAACACAAGCTCCACACATGTGGGTGAACGGGGAGAGAGTGCGGCAAAACTAACAATCTAGAATCCACAGATGAAGAACACAGAGTACAATGACAGGAAACAGCAGCGAGAGATGGTTTGTCAGCTCTAAAAGTGTCCATCATGCACCTCAGTGATGCTCTGACACACACAAACTCGTTTATGTAGCTCGCAGTCTAATCGCACCAGCTAGAAGTCAGAGAAGTGTGTGTGTGTGTGTGTGAGAGAGAGTGCGTTTGCACAAATGGATAAATTCAAGATCTTTGAACACAAATTCATCCTGGGTTAACTTAACCTGAACCTAAAAATCTTCATTACTTGATTTATCAATAACTGTACCCTGCACCTGCTCAGCCATGCAAGTGTGGAAATTGTGATTATAACATACGAAATAGAGCATAAACTTTGAGTATTTAATTCCACAATATTAGAGGACAACCAAAGAAAATATACATTTTTAAAATAATCTATTCTAAAAATATTTAAATTCTGCTTTTCACTTAAAGTATTATGCTGATAAGATATTTTGTAAAGAAAAAAATATTGATTTAGAAAAAATGTGTATCGTATATATCATTTTTAATATAATGCAAATATCATTTTAATGAAAGAAATGTATGAGGAACAATGCATATTGCATATACATTTTTGTAATATGCCATTCTATAATTCTGAATGAAAAAATATTAAATTAGAAAAATACATATTATATATATATATTTTTTGTAATATAATGGCAATATATAATCTTTATTGAAAAAATATTAAATTAGAAAAAAATGCATATTGTTTTTCCTTGTTTTGTAATATAATGCCAATATATAATCTTTATTGAAAAATATTAAATTAGAAAAAATGCATATTGTTTTTCCTTGTTTTGTAATATAATGCCAATGTATAATCTTTATTGAAAAAAAAAAATAATTAGAAAAAATGCATATTTTTTCCATATTTTGTAATATAATGCAAATATATAATTTCAATAAAAAATTTATTAAATTAGACAATCACTGATTGTTCTCCAAAAATCACATTAGCTATTAAATAACCTATAACGATCAACTACTAAATTGCTCTGTTACAAAAACCACATTCAGAACTTCCTTCCATGTATTTATGCCCCAAAGCATGCCCAGTCCCTCCTCAATAGATGTACGTGGCGTGATGTTAGTGTGTGTCTATGAGTGTTTCAGTGAATGTGAGTGTGATCCGCTCAGATCATGTGTGTGTGTGTGTGTGTGTGTGTGTTGGCTCCAGCTGTGCTGTGCTCTCGAGCAGAACAGGAGAGGGAGGTGAAAAGACTGGAGCAGGTTTTGGCCTCCCAGCACCTCTCACCCTCACACTGCACTTCCTCCTCACTAATTAAGACCCACAGCAGGATCTAGAGAACAGCTGGATGACCTGACTGAGTGTGTGTGTGTGTGTGTGTGTGTGAGAGAGAGACAGCGAGAGACAGGGACGGAACGAGCGAAACAGAAGGAGAGCGATCTGTCTGGCCCACCTTCGCAATGCTTGCCATCTCCCTTGTAACCAGTCTTGCAGATGCACTTGAAGGACTTCGGAGTGTTCTGGCAGAGAGCGTCGATGTGACAGTCATCTGTGGCTTCGGAGCACTCGTCGGCATCTGTGGAGGAATCACATGGGATAAGATTTAGATTTAGAGTCAAATCAGACAGTGACAACAAATAAAAAAGAAGTCACTAGATAAAGATGCTTTATAAAGTGCCTATTTTGGTGTAAGGCAGCTGAAAATCTAATGCTTCAATAGTAGGTCAGTTTCTAAAAGCATGACACCCTCTCTATTTAAATCTGTACAATACAAATAAAAGAGAAGGGTCATTACATTAATGTTTCAGTTTCATTCATATTGGTTACAAAACCCTTCTACCATTAATAGACAATCCAGTCAAAGTGAATTAGATACACATTGACTTCAATTAAAAATCTGTTTTATGTATTTCTTTTGACAGGAGATTCAAGGTGTGGTAAATGTTACTCTTTGTCTGTTCTGAGAACAGTTTCTTTCTCTTATGGGGGAACTTATTGCTGGTTTAGAAAGGTGAAACTGAACAGAACAGAATAAAAATGACAAAATCTTATTGAGACAGGACATGGGCGGTCCGGAAGGAAGAAGTTCAGTCCTTTTAGCCAATAAAAAGACGGTCCAATAAAGTGATATATTGATACACATAAAAAGCAGATATGCTCATTCATTCTCCAGATCCAGAGGTGAATGAATGAATGAATGAATGAATGAATGAATGAATGAATGAATGAGCAGACTGTTGGAAAGCTAATTTCGGAGATATTGTCTTTTTGAAGAGGTTAAGGAGGTGGTTTGGTTGGTTATAGATGTGTAGACTCAATCCTGTCACCCCAACAGTGACACACCACTGCACCCAAAAACTCTTCTTTGTCTTTTCATGAAATCGTTTGAATTCTTTCAAATTTACACAAACGTAAAAAGTCGCAGAATCCAACCGATCACCTTTTGCGCAACGGTGCGCTCTTTACATCCAACATCCAAGCCATAAATACACATGTGTGTGTGTGTGTGTGTGTGAGAGAGAGAGAAAAACAGAGAATCCTTTCTAAAGTTTTGTTTGTGCATACCATAACTTAAACTGTTAAAGTAGCCTACTGTCTATTTAAAAAGACTGAAAAGTCCGTGATGCGCAATAGTCAGACTCATTTGGAGATGAGTCATTCATTTCGGTTTATTTGCAAAAGCATTGTGTTTGACCTAAAATACACACATGCAAATATAAAATATCATATATCATTCAGTCGTGTCGTGGTGAAAAAGAACCAAAAGACAGTTTTTATTGTTTGTATCATTATTGACTTTTTCCAGGCATTCATTATGGAGAGACACAATGCGTATTGATGGTGGTGGAGGAGTGAGGGTCGATAAACCCCCCGGACCGACCCCATCAGGGCGGCTCATGTTCTTATAGACCCTATGGGAGTTAGAAGAGCTCTCCTTAAGGAATATCAAGAGCATGAAACTGCGCTTTAAACGCCTTCAAATACGCATACGCCTTATTCCGTAAGTTTTTTCAGCTCTTATGTCAATTACGGGACCGCAATAGGCTAATTTAAATATTTGGACTCCATTTTTATTCTAAATGAATGCAATAATAGTTAATAACACATAATTTATATTGCAATTACACTGAAATAATTTGCATACAAACATGCAACCACTGAATTATAGCCAATATCAGGTGTTAAAAGTTTCACCATATATTTCACCAAAAATATGTGAAAGATACAGAAAAAAAAGAATGGAACACTTAGCCTACCTGCGACTGCAACATTTCCCATGACATCCAAAGTATTTATGATGAGGAAAAACAAACAGACGTCCAAGGAGAAGCAGGAAGGACCCATGGTTAGAGGCTGTGAGTGAATGGACTTCTCCAGTTGTGCGTTTCTTTGATAAGAAGGATTTCTGCTGCTGCTGGCAGAGAGAGCACGAGAGCTCCAGCCGCCTGCTGATTGGCTTGCGCACATTTGAGGAGGAGATGGGAGGTGGAAGAAAGGGGGACAGAGAGAGAGAGAGAGAGAGAGAGAGAGAGAGAGAGAGAGAGACCTCTCTCTCTGTGTGTGTGCGCGCGCCTAAATCTAGATAGATAGATAGATAGATAGATAGATAGATAGATAGAGTCATTATATTTCATATGAAAAAGTACAAAAGCAATAACAGTCTGAATCATGGCAATGTAATAAATGTAACTGATAGCATAGCCTATATATAGTATTTCCCAGTAGGCAGTTGTTTAATTGACATTTAAAAATTGGCAACTGAAAGTGTTTCTCAGTTGGGTTAATCTAATAATCTCATAATGTTAAAAGTTGAACTTTACAAAAAGAAAAATTGCTCTTGAGTTTTGGATGTAGCTGCTTATTTAAAGCCAGGTAATCAATACAATACCAATCACAGGAGAGGTCATACTGCCCCCTGGCGACCGAACTGCAGTACACACATTGTAAATTGCACTGGTTTCCCATTGTACAGTGGCAAATTTATTTGAATGTCTTTTCTAGTTGCGTGTAATTACTGGATATGATTTTTGAATCTAATTGTATAAACATTGTATTTTACATTCACAAAAAGCAATTTCTAAATGAATTTTTTTTTAGAAAAACAAAAACAAAAAAGAACCCCGGCTACTAGGCTACTTTATGACTTTTAAAAGCTATATTAGGATTAGATTATAGACCATTTTGCAAGATGTAAACAACACTGGTCCAGAAAACACTTCCTGTTTCAGTTTGTAACTGTTTTCTTTATTTCACATGTAAAGAAAACATCTTAAAGATGTTTGTTTAACTTCTTGATTCAGTTTTATATGTTCTGTTGGTTTTTGTATTTTATCCCAGCTTTTATGTAGTGTTAAAAAACTGAAACAGGAAGTGCTTTTGGACCAGTGTTGTTTACATCTTTTTTTCCAGGCTTCAAAATCACGAATTCCCCGATATTTCCAGGTTTTATATGACCATAAAAACACTATAGCAAGGTAGGCAACTTATTTAAAAAAATAGAAGTAGGCTACCATAGAAAAAAAACTTAGAAGGGGAAAAAGGTGTGAAGCCTCTTAAAGTGAGAAATAATAGTTTTTTACGTGACGTGACCTCATGCAGGGCACCAAAACGAAATCTTTGACGCATTATCAGCATTCAGGAAGACTTGAAACATGTCCACGATTTGCCTTTTTCACAAGTAAATACTGTGTTTGAAACGCGCTGCACATGCACAAGTTGAGTGAACGCGCGCGACGCAAAGAAAGGAACGCGCCGTCCGCGACACGTACAACGGACCCGCCTGTGTGGGACGTCACATAATTCTAGCCAATCGCAGTGCAGGTACGCCAAGCGGTTGCGTGTCATGGCGTCCTCCTTGAAGGGGGTTGGGTTCGCAAATTCATAATAACTGCGATATTTTAAATTCCCACGATCAGCGGAGCGGCTCTAACGCGTTTAGGATATTATTGCTCCAACAATGGGGACTGTGCACGCACGGGTAAGTGTTTTCTTAAAAACGCAGGGTGAAATATTCTTGTTTTGCCTGTGACCTCTTGTGCTCAGAATTATTGTGCTGGTTTATTGCTTGTTGTTGTATTGTTAAAGACAGCTGCTCGTATTTATGTACATGACATTGGATATTAGCTATACATATGTGCAGAATATTTGCAATGTTTTTTGTTTTTTTTGTTTTTGTAGAGTATGGATTCTTACCCCATGTATGGGCGAGACCTGGGCGTCAACCCAGATGATATGGAAATGATGGAGGCGGTGCAAGAAACTAAGCAAGAGGTTTTAGAAAATAAAAATGTAAGTTTTGTTGAACTGATACTGACTAAATCGTTTTAAACTTATACAATGACACTACCATGTGTCTTTGTTTTAGATAATGATTATACCATGTATATTTCATGGTACATGAATTGTGAATACCACATGAATACCACTTTTTATTTCTGACTGTGCCACCCTTACAAAAAAAGTACCATAAAACTGATGCTATTAGATGGCAATGCCTTCGTATTTATATTGTATTCCAAAATACTTCCAAGAATACTATTGTGCATGTCCAAAAACCCTGTATAACCATTGTTGTATCATGTCCAAAATCTGCAGTCACACACTATGACATCTCTGTTGTCTTCTAGGTTGTTGTACAGCATGTCAACATTGAAGGGTTGGGCAGAACTAAAGAGGATTACTTGGGCTATGAAATCTCTGATGTCTTCACTGCCAGGAACCTGGTTGAAGTAAGTGAGCTGTCAAGAAGGTCAAAGTGTTTATTAGGACGGGTAATCATGAGTAGCGATAGACCAAAATGGTCCAAGGCGGATTTAGTGGACAGTGCACTTTAATTATTATTATTATTATTTTTTTTTTTCAGATATATTTTTGCTTTGAATAAAAATGTCTGTGAATGCATAGATTGTTAGATACAATTATTACAAGTTATGTCTTATGTGCTGACATTAATTGTATGCAATGTCTCAGCATTAAATAATAGGCCATAGATATCACTTATCAGCCATTAAGAAACCCTATTGTTCGATCACCAATTTAGTAGACAAGGTAACAAGCCCAGTCTTTTGTTCAGGTGATGAGAAAATCCCATGAGGCCAGACAGAGGTTGCTCCGTCTTGGTATATTCAAAGACGTGGAGGTGGTGATTGACATCTCAGAAGGTACGGCATCCATAACATCTTCATGCCCAGTTTAAAACGAACTAGACCTTCTGTACTGAGCTGTTGCGTTCTTCTAGACTTTCGACATTTACAAATTGTACTTGGAGAATATTAACCTACACCAGCTCATTTACATACTCATAAAGACAGAAAAAACAGTGGGTCCAAAAGTCAGCCTTTTTATTAGCACTATTAAATGTGTGTACTGTATATATACAGTATAAAGACAGTACATAGGAGAATTTTCATCTATGAATTTGATTTCATAGAGCAATCTACCCTGCATTACATTCAGCTACAGTGTTGTTCATATGATTATGTCTTTCTGATCTCCTCTTTAGGAGCCAATGCTCTGCCAAATGGACTCGATGTTACATTTGAGGTTACTGAGCTTAAACGACTTACAGGCAGTTATAATACCATGGTTGGAAACAATGAAGGCAGTATGGTAAGAATCATTATACACAGAAATTACTGTACTTTGCATCCTAACCAGATGTGAAGTCTGTCCACACGGTCCACACTGAAATAAAAAATACTGTATGACCAACAGCCAATTAGAACCAATGAGATTTTACTGTGGTCATGGCTACACATTGCAACACTGCAGAAATAGTACCAAAGTGATGTGTGAAATATCCTTTTTGAGCATTGTTGTTATTGTTGTGTTTTCGGTGACTGAAAAAAAAAAGCTAAAATAAAGTCAAATATAAATAGTGGATGAAAAACAAACTTGAAAACTGAAATAAATTAATAAGTGCTAAAATTACAAAAATAAAACTGCAATTATATAATTTAATATAAATTGAAGCCAGATTGCAATATTAAAAACTAATAAAAATCACGTTAAAATGAAAACTGAAAATATATATTAAAAGAAGCTAATTCAAAATATGAATAAACTATATTGGTATTATACATAGTAATAAATTGGCACTTTTACTCTCAAATAAGATTTTCTTTCATGCTATGAATAGAATAATATTTAATATGAATAATAATGTGAATATTTATAATAGCATTTACAGTCAGTGTGCTATTTTGCTATATTATCACTAGTGCTGTCAAATCAATTTATCACGATTTATTGCATCTAATTAATTAGATTAATTGCATTATTTTTAATTATTAATTGCAATTAATCGCATCTTGTATGTATATATATATATATATATATAGCAATTAATCAATCTGACAGCTCTAATTATCACTCTTTCTTAGTTTTTCTGTGTAGTTTCATTGTGTTACTGCATTTGTGTATTTGTACCTCTAAAGGTCTTGGGTATTAAACTTCCAAATATGATTGGCCGAGGAGAGAAGCTCACCTTTCAGTTTTCCTATGGAACAAAGGAGACTTCCTACGGCCTGTCCTTCTTTAAACCACAGTCGGGATTTTATGAACGCAAGTATGTTTTCTGTAAACAGCGCAAAACTTTAATTTCTTCGGTTAAGATGCACATGCACATTTTAGCTTTAAATGTAGCAGTAACATTGAATAACATTGGCTTCTTTGCTTCGTGTAGCTTCACTCTAAACCTGTACAAAGTCACCGGCCAGTTCCCGTGGAGCTCTCTGAAAGAGACGGACAGGGGAGTTTCTACAGAGCTCAGTGTAAGATATTAAATGTGACGTGATTTTAAGGCATTGGGTGTACTTAATGAAGAAAGAAATAATGTGGTATGTGTCTTGCAGTTCCCTCTGTGGATGACGGATCACACTCTGAAGTGGGAGGGTGTGTGGCGTGAGCTGGGATGTCTGGCCCGCAGCGCCTCCTTCGCAGTGAGAGAGGAGAGCGGACACACTCTTAAATCCGCCCTTTCTGTAAGCTCTGCTCTGTTGCGTTGCTGTTTTGGCTCCATGCTTTCAGACTGATTTCATGGATTTCTTGTCTCTTACAAGCACACCATGGTAGTAGACACCAGGAACTCTGCCATCCTGCCCCGAAGAGGTGCCTTACTGCGGCTCAACCAGGTGTGTGAACTTGAACATCAGCCCAGAACTTATCACTAGCTGTTTTGTATTTCTCCGCTTACCCGTTAGTTTGCCTCACAATGTCCATCACTGATTAAAACGGTCTGGACAATAGTTGTGTTGGCTCTGTTGGTTTAGGAGCTGGCAGGATACACCGGAGGAGATGCCAGCTTTCTCAAAGAGGACGTTGAGCTGCAGCTTAACAAACCATTTATCTGGGGATCGGTGCGTGTGGTCTTCATTCACGTGTATTGTTATAGATATTTCTGGTTTTGACATTGTTTATCATGCTCGGTAACGCTTTACTTGAAGGGGTGCGCATAAGACTAA